AAAATCAGGACTTCACCTCTTTGTCACAACAAACAAAAGTGGAAATGCAAAGATCTATAAAAAGAAAAACATGTAGCTGAACCAGGATGTGCAGCATTCTGCTTCAACAGACTGGAGTCAGAGTGAACAGGAATAACCCCGGGTTTCCACAGGAGCCGTCAGCAGCGCGTTACTGCAGCAGCACGTCTTGCTCGCGTAAGCTGCTGCTTGGCCCTTCCCACGAGACGCGAAGCAGCAGGGGAGCAGCTGTCACCGACCGAGCACGAAGTCACACGAGTGACTTCGTCAGTAAACACAAGAACAAGCAGGAGAAAACTGAAACATGGTTTGTGTTTTATGTCCTGTCCGTTTTATAATCGCCAATACGGACCTGAAAAACAAAGGAGACCGCTAGCTAGGTGATAACTTCTCACGGGGACGCACAGTTAGTAACTTTTTTTAAAAGTAAAGCAACCAGAAGGAAGTACGTTTCTTTATTCTGAAAATCTCGGGAGCTTCTCTCCATTTCCGCGTCCGATTTCCTGTCTTTCCTTCCCCAAAAATGTCGAACTTGACCCGTGTCAGAGGCGTCGCGTGTAGAAAATAGAACCGGCGCGTAAAGGCCGCGACATGCTGCTCCCGAGACGCGTCCGACTCGCGCTGCTGACGGCTCCTGTGGAAAGCCGGGGTAAGATAGAATAGACTTTACTGATCCCACAGTGAGGAACTTCACTCGTTAAGGCACCACTCACACCTGGGGAATAAGAAAAGGAAAACACCGGTAAAAACACAAAGGCAGTACGCTAATATTGTAATCTTCAGCGATTAAAAAAAGAACAATGGCAAACTGAGTTTCTAAAAGAAACAGCATAAAGGACATATACATACAAATGTACACCCGGGTATTGCACAGGTATTGAATATAGCACTGATGTTAGCATGTAAAGGATAATGTCCGTAACAGTTACAGTAGATTTTTCTACTTTCAGAAATTATGTGTGGTTTTTCATACATCTGTAAAAGTGATTATCTTATCATGTGCTGTGATATAATACAAATACGTCTTTTTTGTGTGTTGTTGTTTTGCTAACCACACTCCCTGCCCCGCAGAGCTCCGTGCAATAGGAAACTGAGTGCCAACCAGAACTAACCAATAACGTTAAACTACCACTTAGATGCTTCAAATTTAAGGAATACCTCGGCAGAGTTGATGAACTTTTCACGGACAAGAAAGTCTCTAAAATAAGAATACATGAGAACACAACATGGCATGAGAATAACACTTGTAAAACAACATGTTTTAGCTCCTTTTGTCGGCTGCAGAAGCACATTTATAAACAGAAACGTGAAGTCGCCATCTTAAAAAAACAGAGCGACAGACTTTTTGTGTGATATGCTTGTCAGCCACTAGGTGGTGCCATCGGATAAGAGAAATACTCCGGAAAGAGACTTTAAAGGCCCCGTGTGTGAAATCCATTGAAATAATGATGAAAAAATGCGACTCTTTAGCACCACGCAGTTCTGAGAAAGTATTGCAGCTACGGTGGCTCACTCATGAGTTTGACTGTATTTCCAACCTGTGTAGCCTAACCCACACAAAGCTTAACACAAGCTAGTCGACCTCTTTAAAAAAACATTTATAATTATGACTGTTTTATCAACCTACCAGTCCTAAAGGAAGCAAGCCAGTTCTGTTCTGGAAGCGGTCATGGTTCACACACGGAGGTGGGGTGACGTCAGCCGGGAGGTCCGGTGTTTTGAGAAACTGTGTTCCCCTGAAATATTCTGTCCCCCAGTGTCGGAAAATCGCTCTTCTGGCCATTTCCACAACATTTGTGATAAACTTTTGTTTGTCCTGTATGTTTCTGTATTAACCTGCAGTGGACTGACAACCTGCCCATGGTTTACCCCACGTGCTTGCTGGAGATTGGCACCAGCCCCCCGCGACCCTGCATAGACAAGCGGGTATAGAAAATGGATGGGTGGAGCATCAATTCCTGCAGTGTGAACGTAGCCTTAGAGACGTCGCCCATGTTTGTGGTTTTGTAGACACACGGTCATACTGACCCTGCATCAATAGATGTGTGAGGGGGCAGTAAGCACGTAGTCCCATCTTGTGCTTCCTGCATGTGGTCTTGAGGTGTGTTGTGCGGGCCTCTTCATAGGTAAGGCCACGGTCATGTGGCCCATTCCGCAGTTAGCTTGTATTGCTGTTGCAATGTTTGAGAATTGAGTTGATTTAACAGATAGTGTTATTTTGTTAAGTATGCTAGAAAGGGCTTCACCTGCTTGTTCAGAGAGAAAGTTCAGTTAAACATAGGAAATGTTTGAAAAGGTCTAACAAAAAAACGTATTTCTTGTTCTGACGTCTCATTACCGCCTCCAGTTAAGCAAAAAACAACAGTCCACCTAAAAACACTTCAAATAAATACGGAAGAACAAAAATGTGTCTTCTATATTATTATATTAAGAAATAACCATCGTATGCACTAAAATTATTTGGCTCCTAAAACACAGAACAATCAGGCCCGGTAAAATAACCGACGATGGTGACTTTCTGCTCATCAGACTGAGCAGATCCTCCATCGGCCTCCAGCTCACCAGCTAATCTCTTAAATCTGCTTGTAGAAAAATAACGTCACTAGTGCCATTTTCAGTGAGAGGTGGGGGGTGGGGGGGTGGGGGGGGGGGGGGCATCATGTCAGAACTCCTGGGATGTAATGAAGCGCGTAGGGCTGAGATCATGTTAAATAAAAGCTGTTAGGATTGATGAGCCCAGCCTGATTTCAGATGCAAGATCAACATTTTTCAGCTGAAGAAGCCAGAACTCTCAGACACACACACACACACACACACACACACACACACACACACACACACACACACACACACACACACACACACACACACACACACTCCAGTTTAGAATTTTACTCCTTTTTGATTGTTTTCATTTTGTCGTATTTCACCCCTCTTTCCAGGACTTTCCAGTAATATGTTCATTCACGGAGACCTTCAACCACCGGGTCGACTACAGGAGGCTTTGGCAAATATCTGACATCACTCTTTTGGCCTTCCATTAAAAATCAAATCATGTTCACACCCGTCAATGGTCTTTATGTGAATCAAATAGCCAAATGCAGTTCCTTAAGGATGATTTGTCGAATTATTTTTTTACAATAAAAGTCTTAAGAAATGTTTTTTTTTTCATGGTCAGGCTGAAAAACTACAACTCCTTACGGTATTTGGAATTCTATAAATTCCGATATTTCTGTTAAGACAAAAACAAAATAGTTTTCTGCACATGTAATGGGTGTTATACGGGTGGAGGAGCAGGGGGTTATGGGTAGATCGAGCTGCTCAGATGATGCTCAGTGGGACTCCCTGAATGTTGAGCAATGGAGGTTTGCCCTCTGTTGACCTCATTCTGCCAACAGAGAAAGGAAGCCGAGCCTGGAGGGTGGGCCTATGACCACCAACCCTCCCCTCTTCGCCTGCTGTACAGCTGCACAGGGATCCTGTCCTTGGCGAGTCCACTAGTTGAATGTGACATGAATTCACAAAGTGGTCAGTTCAGGGAAGCGCAGCAGCTTCTTCCAGCAGGGTGCACTACCACCACCGGGCAGCAGAGGAACCCCCTGCTGGGAGGACAGCTGAATCCTTAAACACACAGATGTACACATCATGCCTAAGCTAACAATCTCTATTTTTATTCTGTTCAGTTTCTACTTTCATTTACCTGAAATCAGAATAGTTGATTTGTTATATAAAAAACTTTGAGACAAAATGGAAAAAACAAAAATTGCATAAAAACAAACTGGTTTTAATGAAACGACGGTGGCACAGGAGTTAAGTGCTCGCCCCGTAATCGGAAGGTTGCAGGTTCGAGCCCCGCTCAGTCCGTCGCTGTCGTTGTGTCCTTGGGCAAGACACTTAACCCACGTTGCCTGCTGGTGGTGGTCGGAGGGACCGGTGGCGCCAGTGCTCGGCAGCCTCGCCTCTGTCAGTGCGCCGCAGGGCAGCTGTGGCTACATCGTAGCTCATCACCACCAGTGTAAGAATGTGTGTGTGTGAATGGGTGAATGACTGATTGTGTTGTAAAGCGCCTTGGGGGGTTCCAGGACTCTAGAAGGCGCTATATCAAATACAGGCCATTTACTTAATGATTGATTTATTCTATACACTTCACATTTTTCATCCAAACCAAGACCTATAAATTGTATTACAGTTTAAAACAAATCTTTTGCTTATTTCTGTTTAGACTATTTAGACTTAAGGTCAAAATGGGTGTCAATGGTAGTTTTTGTTTTTTTGCATCCATTCTGAAATAACTAATGCATCCTCTTTGGGTCTGTCTCAGTATTTTGTTAATCCAGTGAATCAGCAGGTATGAAAGCATCTGAACAGACACCGTAACAAACCATGATGTCACATGACCACTCCTCTGTCAGCATGTTAAAGAGCTATGGAGACTCAGTGATGCCAGGACCGCGTTCTGTTGCTAAACACATAATTGTGTAAATAACGGCGGACCCTGGGAAGTGCGGAGGTTCGGCAGGATCCACAATCAGATGGCACAGTAGTCTGTTTTGGACTGGGGAGGAAAAACGCTCGAGAACCAGTTTATTATTTCTGTCTTTTTTTTTAACGACAAGATATTTACCGCTGTACGGTGTTAGAGCGTCGTTAAGAGGCATGGCAAAAAGGTTTAGCGCCAACTTGATTTTCTAATTTGCTTTTGTAGCTTTAATAAAACAGATTAGAAACTGTTTGGTAAAATTGTCAGAAAAACAAAAACAAATTTTACCATTCCCTCGGTATCTTCCCTTGTTCTGGCTGGTCCATTCATCCTTAGCCTGGTTCTGCTGAAAGATTATTCCTGGTTAAAGTTGGATTTCCTTTCCTCCTCCATGTTTAGACTGTGCTTACAATTGTTGCTTGTTGAGCTGCCCTTTGTAGAAAAGTGGTTCTGTGTTAAGTGGATGCGTGTGGTCAAGTTAGATCAAGCCAGAACAGAAAGGTGATGCTCGTTTGTTGCAACTTTATTGATCAGGAGACAGACAGTCTGAGATCTGAGAAGATTTGAGTTGATATACACATAACTAGACTCCGGTCACATCTTTCCTTTGTCCTTTGGATCAATGTAGCCATCTGGTGGCAGCAGGGAGTTAAAGCGCAGCAGGGTCAGGTCCATGGAGGGGCAGTGCTCCTTCACTGGGACCCAGCCCTCTCTGATGCCTCTTGCAGGAGGTGGTGGGGGCAGGTCACACTCAGTGGGCGTGGAGTAGCTGTCATCAGAGTGTAGGTGGTGGTTGTTGTTTGGGTCAGGGGGAGAAATGCTGTCTCTGCTGTTGCAGCGGACCAGGAAAGTTCCTCGGTGGTGGCGGTGGTACAGGGTCCCAGCCACCACCATCAAGGTCAGAATGAGGAAGCTGAGCAGGAAGAAAAGCACGTAGACGCCTTTGCTCTCCGAGGTCAGGCCTGAAGTGCAACCTGGAGACAAACATCAAATTAGACAAGTGTGTGTGTATGTGTGTGTGTGATGGGGTGAGAGGGTTAAGGCAGGGCAGACCCACCTGCATCCTGCGACTCCATGCACACGGTTCCTCCTGATCCCACCCGGGACTCATCCTGGAACCCTGGCCTGCAGTGGCAGGAGTACGTTCCAAACTGATTCACACAATCGGCGTTAAAATCGCACATAACCAGCTGGGTTCCACACTCATTCACATCTGAAAGAGCCAGAGACACCTGATTATTATGGTACTATGTTTATATTGATCATTCTGTCCGTTATTTCATTGACTGAATATCTTCTAAACATCACCTTCACAAATCAAAATCAATGGCTTCTGTTAGTTTATTCTCATCTCTAGATCAGTATACAGTACCAAGAGTGACAAAAAGAAAAATCCTCCTTATGCATTTCCAAATTTACAGCCTGAATGTTCAAAATGTTGTTTAAACATCATCTTCCTGCTCTTCACCGACAGTAATGCCTCGAGTAAAACCTGCAGGAACCGCGTATCACACTAATGTGGGCCTGGACTGTGTTCTAAAGGTTTCCACAGATATTTGTTGTCTGGACAATGGCCAGTCTGACCACGTGATGTGCATTTAGCAGCCTAGTTTCTTTTTGGATGCTGATCCATCTTATCCAGCTGTGGTGAGAACCCTTTCCTTAAAAATGTCCCTTCATTATTTGCTAGCTTAATGCTCCTCCTGCCTTGGCTAGAGCCAAGCACGTGCAGGCAGCACTGACCAGCAGCGTGGAGCATTGTTGGAATAATGTTGAGCAAAATTATAAAGATTAATTAACCCAGCTGAAGTCATCAGCTAAGATGTCCTGCTTATGATGACACCAAGTTTTTAGCATGGCTCTTTTGAATATTTGCTTCCAGATTTCCTTTAAAGTTAAGGTGTGTAGGTTAAATATTTTTAAGTAACTTAAAAAGAAAAACGTAAATGTGGCTGACCTTGTTCTGTGAAATGAAGTAGGTAATATTTCATAATTCGTTTTTCCTATAAGCCCCTCCCCCGACCTCTGCAGCAGAACAAGTCATTTCTATGAGCCTAGCACATCGACTAATGGGCCATTCCCATCTGTACCGGGTCGGCCCGGGCCGGGTAGCCCCAGTCGGCCCCAGCCTGGCCTGTTTGATTCCACACATCCTTGTCTTAAGCCCATGTGGGCTGATTCTACCCACCAATCAGAGGCTTGCTCTAATGTAAGGTGTGAATTTGCTGTCAGCAGTGGGTGTGTTGGCCCTGGTCGGCCTGAAGCAGACCCCCTCGAGAAGAGGGCCGAGAATGAGCCTTGGTTGGCCCGGGAAAATTCCAGGCCACCCAGATATGTAAACAACCTACGCTACCCGGCCCGGCCCGACCCGGTACAGATGGGAATAGCCCATAATAGAACTGGTCCAAAAAGCAGAACTGTCAGTTGATCCTTCTTTTAAACACATACACATTGTGTAGGCTGTTGGTGAATTTAACTATCACACAACCTCTAGAACGCACTGGTTCCAGCGGTCGCCTCCCGCTTCGGTAACCAGTCATGGCCGCCCACACCGCATTAACGGGTAGCGTTGGAGACGTCCAACAAGGTCATTTGTCCACAGCCTGCCTCAGCAATGTCAGAGGTCAATGTCAATGTCAAGTTTATTTAGAAAGCACAGTTCCAACAATCAGAGACTGCACAAAGTGCTGTACACAGACAAGCAGTAAAAATAAAGTGGTAAAACACAGAGCATTCCAGTAGACCCTAAAATTATTTAACGATAAAATCAATTAAAAGCAAGGGTAAAAAGGTTGGTTTTTATAAGAGACTTAAAAGCAGAAAGGCTGTTAGCAGACCTAATCTGTAGGGGGAGGCTGTTCCAGAGCTTGGGAGCGGCCACAGAAAAGGCTCTGTTGCCTCTAGACTTCGGCCTAGACTTGGGAACAGATAATAGATGTGGAGAGGATGATCGGAGGTTTCATTTGGGGACATGAGTGTTTAAACGTTCCTTCAGATAAGGAGGGGCCAAATTGTGTTGTGCCTTAAAACAGATCAGTAGCATTCTAAATTGAATCCTGTAAGTGACCGGGAGCCAGTGAAGAGCTTGTAAGACTGGTTTTATGTGATCCCTGCGCCTCCTACCTGTCAGCAAGCGGGCTGCCGCATTCTGAGCCACCTTCAAGCGGTGAATTGACGACTGCTCCAGTCTATGATAAAGAGAGTTGCAGTAGTCGAGTCTCGACATGATTAGCAGGTGTATAACCTTTTCAAAGTCTTTGAGTGGTAAATAGGGCTTGACTTTAGTAAGAACACGCAAATGAAAGAACACTCTGGACAACAGAACTTATCTTTTTATCAAGTTTAAAATGTCCATCAATGAAAAAACCCTGATTTCTTGCCTGAGACACACAAAAGGATTCTAAAGGGCCAAATACACAGTTTACCCCGTGCAACAGCCCAGGGTCCCCAAAAAAGACCATTTCTGTCTTTTTGTCATTTAAAGTGAGAAGGTTAAATTGTAGCCAGTTTTTAAACATCTTTTAGACAATTCAGTAATTTGTCAAACGATGGCCTTCGAGAATGTAGTGGGACATATATCTGCACATCGTCCGCAAAGAAGTGATACGCGATGCCATGCTTTTTAAAGATTGCGCCAAGAGGCAACATATACAGCGAGAACAAGAGCGGGCCCAAAACTGAACCTTGAGGGACACCACAACTAAGTTTCACTGGAGACGAACAACACTGTCCCATATTTACTGTAGAAGTCCTGTCTGACAGGTAGGACTTAAACCACAGCAACACTGTGCCCCGGATGCCAACGTAATGCACTAGGCGGGATAAAAGAATTTGATGGTCCACCGCATCAAAGGCCGCCGTTAGGTCTAAAAGGATCAATACAGCTGATTGACCGGAATCGATAGTTAAAAAATCATTAAATATTCTTAAAAGAGTAGGTTCCGTACTGTGGTATTGCTTAAAACCTGATTGAAACTTCTAAAATACCATAATGGTAAACGTAGTCCTGCAGCTGCCTGTGGACAATTTTCTCCATGACCTTAGAAAGGAAAGGGAGCTTGGAGATAAGCCTGTAGTTGGAGAGCACCATGGGATCGAGATTAGGTTTCTTTAAGATCGGCTAAATAACAGCACGTTTAAAGGTGGCAGGGACATGACCAGCAGATAAACAAACATTTTTTTAAAGTGATGGGTGGATACTATCCAGTGGGCTGCAGGAAGGTTTTGACTGGTGAACCACCTTTGAGAGGTCAGAGAGAGAACAGCTCAAACTGGTCAAAAGCAGTTGAGCATGGTTGTGAAGAGGCTGAGTCCTCGAGAGAGGAAGGAGAAGATGATCCAAGAGGTGATCTTATCTGTAAAGAAATTCTTCAACTTTTCACAGAACAGATCAGAAAACTGTAGGCAAGCGGACACACCAGGGGAGATAAGACGACTAAAAACATTAAATAAGACCTGAGGCCTATGGGAGTTAAGCGTAGAAAAGTACTGTGTCTTTGCATGCTTTAGTGCACACTGGTATTCAGCACGAGCATCCCTAAGGATATCCAGCGAGACATGAAGGCCGTCCTTTTTCCATTTTCTCTCAGCTCTTCTGCAGGCGCATCTGAGAGAACCAACAGAGTTATTCATCCATGGTTCTGGAGCACGCGCACAGCGCAGAGTTCCAAAAGGGGCAATACAGTCCAAAATGTCAGTGCATGTAGAATTAAAACGATCCAAGAGCTCATCAGTTGATATGTTGCTACAGTCCATCTGCGCTGAAAAATCTGCGTCTTTAAAAGCAGCAATGAAATGAGAGGCAGTTCGTGAGCTCAAAAGACACCGGCAACGCTGTGATAGAGCCCGGATCGGTTCAGATATATCCACACACACACTGAATAATACAGGAAAGTGGTCTGAAAACCAGGAGTCATTAATTTCAGTCCCTTTAACATCAAGGCCAAGAGATATTAAATCCAATGTGTGGCCCTTTTCGTGTGTAGGGCCTGATAAAGATTGAGTAAGGTTAAAAGAGGTAAGTAATTGCAAAACCTCCTTAACCAGAGGTTTAGTTGCACAGCAGGCGTGAATGTTAAAATCACCAACAATTAAAAGCTTTTCAGCATTAAGAACGAGACCTGCCATAAAATCAGAAAAATCAGCAATAAAGTACTTATCCAGCTTAGGTGGCCGATAGATCACTGCACAAAGTATAACATTAGACTGGATTTCAAATAGTTGAGATTCAAAGCTCGGATAAGCATTTGAAGGGATGTTTTGGCATTGAAATTTAGATTTCCAAACCGATGCCGAGCCTGGGAGGTTCAGAGAAAACCACTGACTCACCATCCCGAATCCAAGTTTCTGTAAGAAATAAAAAATCCCAACGCTCGTGCTTCAAATAAACCCTTCAGTACAACGGTTTTATTTGCAAGAGACCTGGTATTAAGGAGCGCCATCTGAAGAATCAGCCAGATCCTCAGAGACAGGTAAGGGGAGAGGTGGAGGCTGGAATGAATGAGTATTTAACAGTCTTTGATTCTGCTCAAAGCGCTCATATATCTCTGATGTTCGGGAGAGATTGACGATCGTAAACTAGCTGAGCGAGAGCATTGTGCCAGTGGAAAAACAGAAAATAGTAGTAGGAGTTTGAAGGGGCTGAGCAGACGGTAAGCCGTGCACAGTGCTGGCGCCATCTTGCTACTCAACAGTCGGGTCAAGTGTCCAGCAGGTATCTTCTGCCAGGAATATTGTGTTCTTCCCTGTGCCAAAACAATTCCATGCTCAACTTCTCCAGCTGCACCATCTGGAAACTTTGTCCATTTCCTAACGCTAAAAGTTATTGACATATCATATTCTTTGTTTTTTATTAATGCCTTAGCTGCTTCACAGTAAATTAATGAACATAAATGTTTATTATTTCATAACCTATTTCTGATTTTAAATGCACCAAATGAGTACTTGATCATTTAATAATGACTTCTCATCAGTTACATTCACATATTAATATCAGTATATTAACAAATGAATGTTTAACCATTTGCTTCATATATTAAAATGAAATAAGCTTTCCAAGCGTCTCCGAGGGGAGTGTTTGAGGACTTTTTTTAAACTTCTCAAATCTGGTTGGTCAGAGTTTATAAACAACCATTTCTAAAGAGAGATCACTTCCTACATTGCCCAGTTCCTCCAGAGCTTTGAGTTCCTGCCAAGCTCACAGCTCATGCTAAA